GCTGCTGCGGGGAGGGGGCTGCGCCCGCAGGAGCCCCCACTTGGTCTCCAGGAGTTTGTTCTGCTGCTCCAGGAACCGCACCTGCGGACAGGGAACAGCACCCCAAAACCAGCCAAAATCACACCTAGGGGAAAGCAGGATCAGCGGCACTCCCATAACCTCAAAATCACCCCAAAGCCACCTCCACCCCCAAATCACAGCTGGAGGAAAGGGGCTCAGGGGCAATGCCACTCCCCAGAATCACCTCAAAATCACTCCACACCCCAAAATTACCCCAAAATCACCCCTCCACCCCAAAATGCCACTTGAGTGAAAGCAGGATCTGGGGCACTCCCATACCTCAAAATCACCCCAAAAACACCTCCACTCCCAATTCATACCTGGGGGGAAAGGGGGAAAAGGGAATCAGAACCCCAAAATTACCCCCAAATCACCCCCAAGGGAATGGGCTGGGCTGGAGGGGGACACAGAGTGGAAGGGAGGGCAGGGGAGAGATTTGGGGTCCTGGAGCAAGTTGAGTGTCCTTAGGTAACTCAGGAGGGGTTCAGTGTGTCCCCAAAAGGGGGTGTCAATGTCTCTGAGGGTCTCAGAAAGTCCCCAGAGGTGCTCAGGAGGTCCCAGCTGATCCAGAGGGTCCCTGAAGGGCACCCAGAAGGGCTTCTCAGTGTCCCCAGGGGTCCCAGGAGGGCCCCAAAGGTGCTTGGGACGTCCCATCTGAGACCCAGGGGGTCCCAGAGAAGGTCTCAAGTCCCCAAGGGTACAGAAGTCCCCAAAGATGTTCAGGAGGTCCCAAGGTGGTCTCAAGGTGTCCCAAGATGTCCCAGGTGCCCCAAGAGGTCCCAGAAGCCAGTCCCCAGGGTGGTCCCACCCCTCCTCGGGGTCCCCCCAGCCCCACCTTGTCGATGAAGGCGGCGAATTTATCATTGAGGGTCTTGATCTGCTCCTTCTCCTCCCGGCGCAGCTCCTGCAGCTCCTGCGCACACGGGGCACGCCTTTAGCAGGGGGGCACCCCTCAAATCCAGGCACCCCAAATCCCAGGCACCCCCAAACCTCCTCATAGAGCTGCCGCAGGAAGTTTATCTCGTCCGTGAGGCTCTCCAGGCGTGATTCCAGCTCCACCTTGGACATATAGGCTTCATCCACGTCCTGCGGGAACACCCCTGTCACCCCCTGTTCCAGCACCCCCAGGGACCCCCACAGCAACCCCTTGGTCTCAGGGACTCCCCCCATGTCGGGGTCCCCCCTCAGTGTCGGGGCTCCCCCACCTTTTTGAGCAGGACAAACTCGTTCTCCTTCTCTGTGCGGTGGTTGATCTCCTCCTCATACCTGGGCAGGGGGACAGGGGCACATGGAGAAATGGGCATGGGG